CACTTCATGGCAAAAAATTGAATGAATTTCCATCGGAACAAAATTCATAAAAATGTGCCATGATCCTATCGAACCCTTTTTGACATGGTCTAATAGTAAAACTTGCCATGGTATGGTTATAAAAATTGCCATGTTTGTAAAATTGCCATGGTGATATAGTTGCCATGGTCTAAACTATATTTGCCATGATTAAGTAAGAAACAAATTCATAAAAGACCACATGGCAATTTATATTGCGGGGACCATGGCAAATTTATCATGCTTACGATGGTAAATTTATTTCTATTGACCACGACAAATTTATAAAATGGAATTTAGTTTCATGACCCATAGGAAAACATTTTGCCATGCTTAATGAACTAAAAATTGCCATGGCCCCCCAAAAAACTTTTTTTTTCTATTATTGGAAAAGGGTAAAAGGAATTTGCCATGTTTTTGAACAAAGCTTAAGATGCATCTGTACAGTATGAAAAAGTTGCCACCACTACGATGTTTACAAAAAGTTGCCATGAAGTGATATGGTGAAGAAAGTTCTCTAGACACATAGAAAATTTTTGGAAAAAAATGGAGAAAACATCTTAAGCTGTAATGATATTCTACATGTAATCCCCATGGCAAAAACAAATTTTAAAGAACAAACTTGCCGCATTCTCAAACTAATTTGTAAATGTCCATAACAAACATTCTCCGGATGGACATGGCAAAAAATGCATTTAGTTGCCATGGAAGAAGACACATCTATAAACAAATATTGATTTTAGTTGCCATGGAAAATTTGCCATGTTTTCAAACATCTACGAATATTGCCACGTTTTTGAACATCTTTAGTTTCCATGGCAAGTTTGCATGTTTGTGAACATGTTAGTTAAAAGAAGTTTGACATGTTTCTGAACAAACTTAATTAAAAGAAGTTACCATGTTTTTGCACATATTAAAATTTGTCATGGCAAGTTTGCCATGTTTTTGAACATTTTAAAAATCCATGGCAAAAAGTTTCATATTTTTGAACATCTACAAAAGGTTGTCATGTTTTTGAACATCGTAAGTTGCCATGGCAAAGTTTGCCTTGTTTTGAACAACTATAACTTTGCCATGGCAAGTTTACTTGTTTTTGAACATGTTAATTAAAGATGTTTGCCATGGCATAAAATGGAGTTAAATTTGCCATGGCAAAAATTGTTTAGTTTTTGTCATGGCAAAAAAGTAGTACTTTTTCCATGGAAATAAATAAAAAATGCCATGGCTACACAAGTATATTTAAGACGCTACATAATAAATTTGCCATATTCTATAAATTTAAATTTGTCATAATATTTGAATTGAAATTGCCATGCTCTTTATGACAAATTTGTCATGGCGACTTAAACTGAAAATTGCAATGGAAACTTAACCTAAAATTTGCCATGTGAAAATAAAGGTATTTTTGTCATGGCAAGAACTGGATATAAATTTGCCATGGCAATAATTTAGTGAAAATTGCCATGGCAAGAAATGGATTAATTTTTGTCATGGCAAAAATGGAGTACTTTTGCCATGGAAATAAATTTAAAAATGCCATATCTATACAAGTATATTTACCGTGCTACGTAGTTAAATTTGCCATGTTCTGGAAATGTAAATTTGCCATATATTTAAAACAAAAATATTTGCCATGCTCTTTACAATAAATGTGCCATGGCGACTTAAACACTTAAACTAAAATTTGCCTGCTAATTGGGTTTTGCTATTGCAAATGGTTATGGAAAAAATACCATGGGTGATGACCTCAGGCAACGAACACAGTTTTTAGGAATAAACCGTGTTGGATCAATGAACAATCACATACGACCTTTTCTTGAAAACTGTTTGCGTTAGGTCACCTTGCACAAACGTTTACCACATAAAAACTGTGTGTTATGAACAGCCTTTGCCACACAGTTTCTTCTGCGCACCGTGTGTGATGCATTCACTAACGCAAACAATAAAATTATTAATATCGTGTACAATGGCAACGCTATCACAAACGATTTAACGGGGAAAATTATGTGTGATGTACCTGTGAACGGAAACGTTTTCCTTGGAGCGACTGTGTGGGATGTACATACGAACGGAAACGTTTAGCGGGGGCTGACTATGTGGGATATACTTGCGACCGGAAACAATTCCGCCTGTATAATTGTTTTTTAGCTCTACTATACGTATTACCGTATTTGAGCGCTCGTCGGTCGCACACGATCTCATTTTGCCGAGTGTGTGTGCCAGGAGGGCATATCCCCGACGGTTTCTGGGTCGTGTGGGAAGAACCCCCCTATCGCCGTCACTTACTAGACGACGATTCCAAATGTCGTCGCTGAAAGGGATTAAAAACTATTTGTATAGCACCGACGCATACTAGTGACATCACTGCCATAATCCAAATGCCACATCACGGACACCAATGGCTACCACAGAAGTTGTAGGAAACCCTAGATGTCCTTTTGGTACATGTCGTAGGTGAGCAGACTTCGGTCCATGGGGAAAGCATGCCCATTGGATCAGTCTAGTACGGATGCCGAAGTGGAGAAAAAGGAAAGCAAAAAATGAAAACAATGGTTGTTGCAAATAAGCCCGTACAATTCCTAAAATTGAGCTTGTTTTTCTTCCGCATAGAAAGTTATAGAAAACTCCCTATAGTTTACCTTTTTGAAGAAAACTAATTTTATATGGATATATTTGGCCTCGATAATCCATATTTACACCTCATTCCTTCGTATAACGAACTGTAGAACTTTGCACTCTATATCCTTTGCTTCATAGTAATTTAATATTGTTTTTAGCATTATATTATTGTTTTCTTGCACTCAGAAGTTAGAAATCACTAGATATACTAATGAACGCATAGAAAATTACGTGTGCTTTATGAATTGTTCGTACCCATACTGCAAGTAGTGAACTCACCGAATTGCTAGATATAACAAATATAAATGACTAAACTGGCCATGGATGCCCGCAAATATCGTGATTGGTGCTCTGTCGTGAAAAAATTGCTTCAGCTATGGCTAAGCAAAGTCATAGGCATGAAGTCATATTGCCAAATCACTTAAGATACGACTAGAGCGGCATGGCTAGAGCAAATCTACCAGAGTCGCCATTCTGCCTGATCACCAGAATAACCACTATTATGACGATTTTTGTCAAAAAGATCACTCTAGCAAAGTCACCATCTTATCAGGAGATCACCATAATTTATGAAGCACGCTGCATATCTTGCCTCCCAGTTACTATATATATGGAGTCTCGGGCTGCCTTTTGTAGCGTATGGCGTGAAGGAAAGTTTCGGTGACCCTCCCTTGGAATAGCAAGAAGGTTGTGGGAAAGGAATGTTACATTGATGAGTTGATCACACGACTAGGAGGAAGCAAATATGAAGAATCTGAGTTTGCATGTTGTCTTTCAAGTGTCCATAATTTTTTGAAGTGTACTTCATAATTTTTGACGACTCGGCTAGAGTTGCTCTTAGGTATAGTAGGAGAGAATGAATGTCAGTAGCGGAGCTTCTAAAAATATATAATATAGGATTTGGCCAAGCTTAGCCAACATACCTGACCATGATACAGTCATGAAAGTTAGCTTGTATTAGCGGACTGTAACGCTATTTCTAAGAAATAAGAATCCACTTTATTCGCAATAAAAAAAGGAAGTTAGCTGTGGTGGGCCGACGTTCATTATTAAGAGGTACAATGTATATGTTTGGAGAGTAAACAAATAAATATTTATACAAAATATATGAACATTTCTTTTCGAAAAAGGAGGTGATACCGTTGACCCTTCTGCAGTGCAGATAAAATTCCTAAGCCCAAATATACAGCAAGGGAGAAGATAAGATAATCAAGCAATGGAAAAATCTAGACTGTAGGCAGTGGAGCTCCCACTCCCAGGGAGGGAAAACAGGCAACAACGCGTGGCTGCCTCCAGTCTTTCTGGCTCACGAGTCGGTGCGGGGCTGGGGAGTGGGGAAACAGGGAATTCTCAAAAAGGAAATAAAAAAAAAGAGTGGGGAAACAGGGGATTACCGCTGTGGCGGCCGCCGGCGATCCCGCGCCTCCCCTCACGGCCGGTGTCTCTCCCGACTCTCGAGCGCCCTGCGAAATAGGGTTCCCCATCGACACATGTACAGCTCCGGCTCCCCCGACCATGCCGCGCCCTCCTTCTCCAGGTCCCGCAGCCACCATGAGTTGCTCGCCTCAACCCAGGTGGATGACCACTCCGAACTATCCCGCCGTCTGCTCTTGAGGCTGCCGTCGGACATTTCTCCTACCATTGCGCAGCGTCGGCGTTCAGTGCGCCGCCCCGTGAGCCCACCCTGACGCCATGCTTCTCCCTCCTGACTCCTGAGGAAGCTGGGCAGCCAAGTTCCGGTGCCTCCCCCAACTCCTCTCCGCTGCTGAGGTCCAAATACTCTACCTCTGCAACAAGCTGTCCTATGCGGATACCTGGAAAAAGTAAGACGAGTTGTTGAGTGTACAGCGTTGTACTATATATTTAATTCGGTGTGTTATATTATATATGTATTCGTAAATTCCGTTGTGCTAAACCGGTTATTCCAGGAATCATTTCAGTAGCCCAATCACTCAGTGTGCTTGATTGTTTAGATGACACTAGAATTTTTTGTGAAGAACAATGTACAATCATTGTGTTGTTCACCTTTCTCATCTTTCTATCAGGTCTGCATTAGTTATATGCCAAGATTCCAGTTACCATGGTTTCTTCTGTTGAGGTGGGGCAGCTGAGGAACATATATCAAATAAGGCACAAAATGCTGAACTGAAGTTGTTTTTCGAAGTGGAATTTGGACTGGTAACTACAGTTGTGCTTGCTTCCTTTTATGCAAGTTTGAATTTTAGAGTGCGTCGTGGCCTGGATGCAGGTTGCTTAACTATATCTGATTCCCATATAGGATCTGCAGCCTCTCCCTCCTGAGAAGAGCAAGGAAGATAATCATTCTGTCCATCAAACTCTCCAGGCCCAAAGAAGAAGTGTTTATGTTCATCCAGTTTCTCAGGTGGGCCATTGTTGTTTGTATTAAGGGTTCAAGTGGATCGATTTGAGTTGATACAAGCAAAACTGTACAAAAATGCCTTAGTTAGAAATTACCCAAACTGAACTTTAGAAATAAGACTGTTTAAAATTGGAGATTAGCATCACACATTAGTTTCTTACGGTTTCAGCCCTGATGTTATATAGATCCATTTTCTATCGCTTTTGATTTGCCTTTTGTATTTTCTCATGGTTTATTCATGATCTTGATCATTATCAGGCTGCAGTTTTGGGGAACACCCATAACATGACGTGGAATGGTAACTAAAATAAAATTGTTGATGTATTTTTACCAACCGATATTCACTCTTGGTCAGGTCCATCCTGCCAATATTTGTTGTATTACTGAATTTTTTAGCAGATTGTTCTCCTGTTATCGTGTAGCAGATTCCACATTGAGCAGTAATGTACTACTATAATGCAGTTCTTTCATGACCATCGTATTACTGTACTTAATAGAGTTATATGGTGTGAGCATACTCCCTATACCTAAGTTTTTCTCTATTCACTTGTGTTAAGGCATTCAACCAATTGTACTACTGAATTTTATAGCTGGGCTCTTGTTTCGCTAATGCAATGGAATCGGGAGGCTTTGCCCTCCTGATTGTCTAAATGTTTTATAGCTGGTTGTTGCTTGTTGGTCTTGTGTGCCGGTCCCCAGATCGAGTAATAATGATGCAATTCTTGATTGATGTTTGCAACATTTCACGTTTTTTGTTGCATGTTTTTTCTGGCCTTTGAAATTCTGAACAACGCCAAGAGAACAGTCAGCTTAGAGATTTCCTCACCAAATTTCCTGGCGCAGCGGAGCGCGCCTGTTCCACTAGTATATAACTACAAGTACATCAGCTTCACACCATAAGAGACAGAGAAATTGACAGTACAGCTCTTCCACAGCTCCCAGGAAGTGGCTTCTTCATCCACCACCATGGCTGCCATATGGGCTCTGGTCATTATCCACCTCCTTCTACTGCTCCCACTCCTGCGGTCCTCCATTGTGTTCGAGCTCCACGGCGACGTCTATCCTACTGGGTACGCAATCTCCTGCATCTTCCCCCGTCTTTTTTCATAGATTATGGAAGAAACTCTCAGTCCTTGAATTCCATGATACTACACACGGCCATGCATCCTCCTAACTTGGATCACTACCTTTGGTCCTTGCAAATGTTGCGATTTTGATTCTTATCCATGAGACCACGACTGACATGCATGACCTCCTTTCAGTCTTTCTGCAGTACATTATATTGCAATTGCATGCATGTCTTCCTCAATATTTCTTGATCTTGTACCCAGATCTTATCGCTCTCTGTTCGTCTGACTTATTTTCCCCAACTTCTTCCGAGAATTACATTTCAGTTGTTCATGCACATTTTGTGCTTCAACTTTCAATACTGCAGCATTTGAGTTTTGACATGCTTTTGCTGCCTGTGTTCGTACGTGCAGCCTCTTCTATGTTACCATGAACATTGGGGAACCCGCAAAGCCCTACAACCTCGACGTCAACACGGGCAGCCCCCTCACGCGGCTGGAGTGTGACACCCCCCTCCAGAGCACTCACAAGGCAATCTAAGTCATCACATTTTCATCGCCTAGATGCAGAGGCCAGGCGGTCATCCTCCTTTTTGAAAAAAGAAAAAAAAAGTCATCACATTTTAATTAGTCTTAGAACCTTAATTACACTTGTATCACCTGCTATGCGTATATGCTACTCCATCCATTCCCTTATACAAGTGGGAATGGAGTAGCTCCTTGCATGCCTTTTGCCTTCCAAGTTCCAACTCAACTGTAGCTTCAGTTTCCTTCAGTTTCCAGTCCTGAAATGAAATTTACATGGCGATTGATATTATTGCAGGGGCCACACGAGGCGTACAGACCAACACCGACCAACGTGGTGCCATGTGACGATGAGCGATGCGTGGCGGTGCACAAGGACCTCGGCCTCGCGCACGACTGCACTCAGAACCCAGACCAATGCGACTATGTGTTAGGTTGCAAGGACGGCGAGTCGTCCTTGGGCGTGCTCTTGACCGACCAGTTCTCCCTCCCCACCAACAATGAGAACCGCCCCAACCTTGCCTTCGGGTAGGCGTTACTGAAACTTTCCTGCACCGTTGCATCGCATTGCATGATTCGGTTGTTGCGTGTGGGCGTGCGTGCGTGCAGCTGTGGGTACGACCAGGAAGGTGGGAAAGAGGCAGGCAAGAGCCCGGTGGAGGCAGACGGCGTCCTCGGGATCGGCAAGGGGACGGGTGACCTTGTCTCCCAGCTAAAGCAACAAGGCATAATCGTTGACAATATCTTTGGCCATTGCCTCGGCGTCCATGGAGGGGGTTTCCTCTTCTTTGGGGGCGACAGGGTGCCCTCTGCCGGCGTAACCTGGGTTCCAATGGCTCAGAATGTCGGGTAATTACTGTTACATAAATAGCCGGTTATAGCTCCGCTATAGCGGTTTGAGCAGGATGCTCTTAAACGAAGTAAGTAGGTGTTTCACACTTTTCATGGCACCCAACCTTTTTTTCGTTTCAGGAGCCACTACTCACCTGGCGCAGCAACACTGAACCTCAATGTACAACTGGAATACCCGGTAAGCATGGAGCCAATGACCACCATGTTTGACAGCGGGAGCACCTACACCTATGTTCATAAGGACACATATGGTCGCCTTATTGCAGCGGTATGTTTCACCCAGGCATATTTCACCGGAGTAACTAGCTAACTAGACATGGGCACATGGCATTTTGGATCTTGCATTGCAGGTGGGAGTCACTCTCGAGGGTTCATCACTTACCAAGGTGGACGATGATGCGCTGCCTGAATGCTGGGAAGAAACCGAGCCAATTCAATCTGTTGACGACGTCAAGAATAAATTCAAGCCACTTGAACTCACTTTCGGCCATGGGGCTAACCAGGCCACCATGGAGATCCCTCCTGAAAACTATATTGTTGTCACGGTAAGTGAACCTTGGATTGCTTACTGCACTGGCTGCCTGAAACGGATCGACGGAAGATCATTATATTGCCTAATATGTCTACTTTTTTTTATCACAGAAAACCGGGAAAGTGTGTCTGGGCATCCTCAATGGATCACAGATTGGTCTGGATCGACTGAACCTAATTGGAGGTGTGAAATTCAGTCAAACGTTACCGCTTTGGGAAACTATGACACGCATTATGCCCATGCATCTTTTAATGATTTCCACACTGATTTTCTCTTCTTCAGGTAATATAATGCAGAATTATATCATGATGTACGATAACGAGAGAGCACGAATCGGATGGGCCCGTGCGTTGTGTGATGAAATGCCAGGTCCCGAACCTCTCATCGGGTCACGTCTCTGAAATCTCAATGAAGCTTCTGCTGACATGCTGTGGGTTAGCTGGAAGATAGATGGAGGTGTCATCGCTTTAGAAGCGGGGCTCATACCTTAACAAGAATGAAGGACTTCCATGAGAAATTGAGATGATATTTTTTGGTAAACTATTCTTTCCCACCGGCTGATTGCAGCGTTCTGTTCGGCCGCACGATGCGCCTTCCAATCGTCGCTTGCAATATTCCGGTAATAGAGAGCGTCCGCATGCAGCCTGCCTTGCGTTATCTAATTTCCTAACTGAAACATCACAGCTACATCTATAGACAAGGACGGGTAGAACCCTTGCAATGTCTAAAGAATGTATTTCCCGAAAAAAAATATCTAAAGAATGTATTTTTCTTCTTCTATGAACCAGAAACATGCAATCTTTATAGAGTGTGCTTCTGTGGTCGTCGTCGGTCACGCGCGGTGCCATTGGGTCGCTCATTGCAAACCAGACGTGTGATGTTGCAAAGCCATTCGCCGTTGTCTTTTGCTGCTTCAAAGCCTGGCCAACGTGTTACAAAGCTAGCCACGCAATGCTGCAAGGTCGGCCGGTGACACTGTTGCAAGTCAGATGCGTGATGCTGCAAGGCCGGTCACCCCTGCTGCAAGCAGGGTGCCGCTGTTTCTTTTTGTTGTATAGCCGCCACATGACACTGCAGGGTAGAGAGAAATAGTGAAGAGTGCATTGGACTTCTCAAAGGAATTTGAGTTCACGTTGAAATTCCTGTGGAATGAAAGGTGTAGGAATAGATTCCATAGGAACTTAGTTTTTTTTAGGGATAGCGGAATTTAGTTATGCTAATCATAGGAATCGATAGGGCTAAAAAATTAAAATTCTTAGGATTCAAATGCTCTAAAATTCCTATAAAAATCCTACAATAGGCTGTAAATCCTTCCATAAACCCACTGGGCCTGAATCAACATGCATGGCTGGCGCACAAAAAATCTTGAGGAACATGGTACATGATAAATCTATTAAACATAGTGAGACGAGATGTAAACATCCGATGCGTTACAGTGATATAACCTGTTCTTGGGCTAAGGAACTACACCGAAAGTAAAGGCAGACAGCAGAACATATGCATCTAGGCAAAAGAACACGACCCACGTCACTATGATAAACCAGGTCCAACTGGCCGAGATAGCTCAAACAAGTTGTGCAGCTCATTCCACGCTGTTCCTAAGATTAGGCCTCTTCAAAGATTGAAAACAGTGCAACATTGCAGAGACAAAAGACCAGACTTTAGCCTCGCGTTCATGAATAATCATCATCATTTGCCGGGGAGGCCGAGAGCCATGTCTCGAAACTGAAGCCTGTACATATACCAGACAAGGTAGGATCAGTTGATTGTGATGTCATCTCGAGAAAATATTGCACAATAAATAGACAAGTGTAATTTTAGGTACAGAATGCATAATATGTGCAGCTTAATCTAATCATTTCAATGCCGTGGATATGTGATTGAGACAAAACTTTGAATGACCACATGAGACATAATGCCTACTTTTCTAGCTGCCTGGCCACAAGAACAGCAGAAGTACAAAAATATGTGCTGCTAGTTAACTTACATGTGGACAGTTGCGCACTCAGTTTGATGTTAATCTGCGTGACACTGACAAATCGACTCAAGAATTTTAAAATCCTGCAAACCCTCCCATCAATATCTCTACATCTGATTTCCACGGTATTAAGGTGTTCGGATATTGCAGGTAATTTTTCCAGTGGATAGCAGTTACCTGCCAGCACAGTTATAAATTCCTGTCTCTGTGGTGAAAAAAATAGAGTCATCAAGATTTGATCAATGATGCATATAAAAAATGTGAATCAAGATCTATAGATAATGCACAAAAATGTATACTAAGATAGATAAATACACCTGCAAACTTATATTCAACAGCAGCAATCAATTATGCATGGTAACTTGAATAACATATCTGTTATAGATAGAGAAAGCATATACCTTACATAGTTGAAGAGTGAGCTTCTCAAGAACAGGTGAATGCTCGAGAATGCAAAGTAGTGCACGGAAGTCAATAGCCACACACCAGTCATTCAGTAACAATGTCTTCAAGTTACTAAATGTAGGACACCACCTCAAATCTCTTCCAAAAATAAGCTGATGAAAGTATGAACAGCTCAAGTTTTAGGCTTAAAGTGATGATTCAGTGGAAGTGAAGTGCGTAGCAGGTTCGTATAGGCATTTGAAAAGTCACACCTTGAGAATGTAATGCAGGATATATATATATATACTTCGTATAAAGCACATGCTACATTCAGCATGTTTGTTTCTATACATTTATACATACAAATAATTTACATATTGACCATGAATGATTAAATTAAAGTTGTATATAAATATTCACTTAGCACTTGTATTCAGAGGCCAACTAATTCACATGTGCCAACAGCAAAAAAAAACATCATTTAGAAGCCTAAGCCTATCTTCTGGCAATCCATGTACATACAAGTGTTAAAAAGTCGCCGGTATCTAAAGATGGATACAGAATCTTCAAAACAAGCTAGCTAGGAGTGAAAGAAAACAAGACTTGTAGTTGTAGGAGACTGAGAGTAAAGATGGGAGTTCCAAGTAAGCATACCATTCCGGCGTGAGCTACCAGCTCCAAATTCACAGCAGTGGACATGCCTCCAAGAAGCACGCAGCGGCCGCTATGGTCATCATCGCCAGTACATTCTGCACAGCTGCCACAGCACTGCCCTAGCTCACCCCCTTTGCAGCAATCACTCGAGTATGCTGCCGGCCTCACAAGTGCCGTTTTCAGTGAAAGCATGCTTCCAAGCAAAGGAACGTTACCACCGAAAGAGTCGAGCAGCAGCCAGACGAGGCTGGAGATTGCTATCCTAGGCCGGCAATCACAGAGGAAATCACAGCCGCTGATGCTGAGACGCTTCACCGACTGGGACAAGATCTTGTCAAGGGATAATATACAGGACGCCATGATCAGATCCTCCAATGCCGGGCAGCTTGCGAGATCGAGAATATTTGCTTCTAAAGCCCCAGTCTCCTCAAATGCCGAGAGACCAGAGGAGGGTTTCCCAGTCTGATGGAGACAGTGAGCGCCTGAGCTTGGCCCGACAAAATCCGTCGGATCCAGACTTGGAAGTGCGCGTCGTCTTCCTCAACCAGTCCGCCAAAGTCCAACCTGGCCTCTTCCAGAATCGGGCCATGGTCGCCGGGGGGCAGCAGAGCGTTCAAGAAATCCTTGAGATTTTCGGGCCTATCCCACCCGTCTTTGGGGCTGATGGTCAGGCGACGGATGGATCTCCAGGCGTGGCGCCAGCGGCCGGCGAGCACGCTCGTCCGGACCGCGTCATTCGCCGGCAGGAAGCCGAGGACGTGCTGGAGGACGCCGTCCGGCAGAGCGCTGAGCCGATCTTCGCTGCCCGGCATGGATGCTTTACTTGCCACCGTCGAACATGTAGTGAGCACCACCGCGCTGGATCGATGCTGTTGTGACAAGAAAAGAAAAGTAGAAAACAATGACGAAATGAAGCAAAGAAGCGGGGGGGAAAACACGGGTGGAAGACGAGCTTACCTTGCCGACGCTTAGCTTCAGTCGCCGCTGCGCAGGGGCAGGGCGGCGGCGCAGATGCAAGGAAGGAATCGTCCAACTCCAATGGAGAAGACAAAGCGCGTGAGAGCTCTCTGTTTAAGCTCAGCTCAAGGACGAGACGGAGTGGAGCGATGGAGTGGTGGAGAGCACAGAGCAGTTATTGCTACGAAGAAGAAGCTCACCTACTGGATGCTTCTCTTAAAAAAAAGGTCCAGCACAAAATAACTTCTCTTGGTTAACCTTTTTTCTGGTTTTTGACAGCTTACTTTCAAATAATGGAACGTGGTAATGCAACAAACCCAAATTGCATGTACCATGCCTTGAACCTGGGTGGGTGGGAAGGCATCAACCCCTTCCCACCACTAGGCCATGCCTTAGTCTGCGGTTCATCGCGGTTCAACTGGATATTGAGCGAAGTACGAACAGTAGTGCAATAGGCATTACTACATCATATGATAAATCAGGTCCAACTGGATGGTCTGGAGCTCTAAGCCAGGTCTTCGACACGGGACTCGCATAAGATGCCCATAGACAAAAGATGATGAACAAGACAACATCGTCACATCCTACTGAAGCCTTCCAATATCGGACTGTCAAGGGATGGTAGATCTACCGCTAAGTACTTATTCTCACCCTTACACGAAACAGAATCCTGCACAAAAACAAAAAGACACGATGAGGCAAGAGTATACATGTATAATGGCATACACAGAAACAACAGTGCTCAGCTAGTTGACCCTTAAATGGAAATACTAGAAGACTTGCATGAATACTTGATGAGATTCACTCAACGAGCTGCAGCTTATCTCCAGGGACGTAGCTACCTTGTTAGCACTGGGGTCATTTGACCCACTGGGGTCATTTGACCCCAGTGCAAATTGGCAAAACCTTCACTAACTAAGTACTAATCACTATACATTTATTGAACATGACCCCACTGTCATAAGCATGACCCCATTAAACTTTTTTTCTAGCTTCGTCCCTGCTTATCTCATAGGAGGATCTTTGCTAGAATAGTTCATATTTATGCCCGCCATTTGTATGGTACAAGCGACTCATGAATCTATATGCTGGATTTACGCTCCTATGAGACCTCATCAAACTATTTGTATTCTACTTCTTGACAAGTTGTGAACTTTTGTGATGTACTCCCTCCGTCCCAAAATAAGTGTCTTAACTTTGTACTAAATTTTGGGACGGAGGGAATATGACGTCCACACCAGATGATTGAATTCTGCATGTAAATTGTGGCAACCCCACCGGTACAATTCTAGATCTGTCTGATTATTTCATCAAGTTCCTAACTGCATCTGCAATACATTCAAATAACAATAATTTGTGCCAAAACTTCGAGAACAGTTTTCTAGCTATGAACGTATCCAACATGTGTGACAACTACTAAAACAGAAAACACCTGGCTAAACTACTCAATGACAAGAATACAAAGATCGTGTATTCTTCTCATCACATCAAACAGCAAAGTTTCAAAACAAGCAATAAGCACATCTCAGAAAATAACCAATGAGCTAAAGGTTGTCAAACGTGCATGCCAGGGAGATGAGAGTAAAAAGGAAGGATGTGCAAATGATCAGGAGTCCAACTTTCTAGGCCAGTGGCAACAAGGTTTTGTACAAAAATGTCAAAAGAATTTCACAACAAAGGAAGGTGAATTAAGGAATGAAACAGGGGTGGCCAGTAATAGTGAATCTATAAGGGTGGGAGCTGCCTGCGCGTGGATGGCCTAAGGTATTTTCTGACTTGTTCCTATAAAAAATAAATCATCATGTAATTATTATCTCACCATTCATCAATGAATGTGCACCGTTCCTGCTGGTATTCTAGAAAAATGAAATCAGGAACCATGATAGGCAGTCAGACACTGATAAACAAGTTATGTCCAAGTCTCGCCACAAATAAATGAAAAGATCAACAGGGATTCAAGTTCTTGACTGGACAACTGAATGGTAGACAATTCCGTGAAGAGGGGAGTGAAAAACTCATCTCTCATGAGTCTTGGAACATGTCAATGACTAGTGCCGACCATTCAACAAGGCAGTCAGCATTTTGTGTACGGTGTTACTGCTTAGAACTATTAAGCACAGACATTAATGTTACTAAGAGGAGCCAAGCAAGAAGCCAGCATTCCTCACTGTTGTACGTAAGAAGCCAGCATTCTTATTACTGTTCAAAACTAATCAATTCAGAATTGTATTACTGATCAGAGTAATGAACAAATCCACATGCCGGGTGTTCTTCCTTTTTGTGCCCCGCAAAGTGTCATGCATGGTTTCCATGTCTTAGAAATTTTGGTGTTCCTAACAACTTTTTTAAATGATTTTTTCCATTGCTTACTTTGATTATGACAGATGAAGGAAAATTTGAGAATATGCAAGAGTGCCACCAGTCAACTTACGTATGTTAAGTGTACACAGGAACTTCAGAACTTCGGCAACTTTCTCATCAACAACACAACACTTGACATCGACTACCTTTAGGTGTTCAGATATCACAGAAGATCTCTCCATTGAACTATAGCTTCCTTTCATTTTAACATTAGCTCTTAGTCCCTGGGAAACTAGAAACATTAACAAGATCGAATAATGAAATGATAACTTGAACAATACATCAAGCCAGCAATTCTCTGCCTATAACATATATACCTTGAAAAGATGAAGACTGAGCTTCTCTAGAACGGGTGAGTGTTTGAGAATGCAACTTAGAGCGTCAAAGCTAGGGCCCATGCACCAGTAGTCATTGAGTATTAGATTCTTTAGTTTGTTGAATGTAGGGCACCATTTCAAATCCCTTGTAAAAATAACCTGGGCAAAATACAAATAAAAAGTTCATGTATAATACATATTGTGAACATATACGAATTCAAAAAATATTGTTAACATATGAAAATGATGATCTAGGAACCCCAGCTGGTGACAATGCATACATAATGTCTGATTATTGTCTATGGATGTAAAAAAGCACAACCAAAAGATTCTCAAACAGGTAGTGTTTAATAAATTCCTCTCAATACAGGCATATCTCAATTTCGGCTAAAGAAGCTGAAGTCCTGAATAACCTGACATGAACGGCCTGTCTATGGTACATCAAATCTTGCACTCCTAATAGCTTAACATTAAAGCCTACAGTTGCAGAAACATAAAGTAAACTGCATATGAGGAATGTCCCGCGATAGTTCTCAGTTTCTTACAAAATCACTCTAATAGGTTTGACGTTTGATGCCCAGACAAACAGAATATCTGATGCTAGGTAGAAATATAGCAAGACGAAAATGGATGACAAACAAGACTAGGAGTTCAGGAGTGAGGTGCACTCATACCATTCCAAATGAAGATATGAACTCCAAATGCTTAGCATTAGAGATAGCACCGAGAACCACACAATTTCTGCTGCCATCACTATTTGCATGACAGTTAGGACATGCATCATGGTTAGCACGGTAGCACCACAGTACACCCCAGATTGGCTATATTTCTGACAGATATCTTGTGAGGTATGGTGCCCGTGAGCGCCAAGAGTCAGATATGCTGTCTCTAATAATGGCATGCTTTCAAGCAAAGGGGTAACACCTGAAAACCCCGATAGATCCAGAGATACAAGGCATGGAGCAGAAACTCGGACCCGGTCATCCAGATAGGATCGGCAACGAAAGATACTCAAACACTTCAGGACAGTGACGATATCTTGCCAACATTGATGACAGAGAAACCAATCGTGAGATCCTCCAATGCTGGGCAGCTAGAAAAATCAAGAAGAGTTCCTTGTAAGCCAACACCACCAAGGACCAATGTCCTCAGATACCGAGAGACGAAGGGCAGGCCATCTAGGTTGAAAGATCGGTTACTGTCATAGTGAAAAATGGTGAGCGCACGAACTTTGCTCTGCACAGCAAAACGGACCCATAGGTTCACAAAGGGCACGTCGTCTTCACGGAATTTTCTGAATCGGATCTCAACGGTGTCTAGGTCCGTGCGCTCGCGCAGGATCAGCAGATGGTCCACGAATTTCCGGAGAACCTGGACAGATACCGGACCCTTATTGCCGACGATGAGCAGGCCAGTGGTGGACTTCCAGAGGTGACGCCAGCGCCGGGCGAGGGCGCACGTCCGCACCGCCTCCTGCGCCGGGAGGAAGGACAGGATGTGGTGGAGGATCCCGTCCGGGAGGGTGCCGATGCAGTCGATCCCCGGAGGCATTCGGTCGAACAGGCGGCGGGCGCCCACGCTGCGGGAGAAGAAGCTGCCAGGTAAAGCAACGAAAGGGCGCAAAGAAGGGGGAGAGAAAGATTGGCTCACCTGGTCGCCGGCCGGAGGTCCGATGAGTCCGAGTCTGATGTGTCCGAGGAGGAGTCCGTCGAGCTCATGAGTGCCTACCCCGGCAGCGTCCCTCGCCGGCCGTCACCCGCACTGCTCGCCTCGTATGAACAGTGTCTTCGATCGCCCGCTTCTCCCCTCTAAGAAAAATCAAATGTTCAGTGCATGCGAACGATGCTGTTATGTATGGAAAGCTTGAGCAATGGCGATTCTAGTGCCGTAACATGCATGAGCTGATTTTGCGCTCTCGAGAAAAAGATTTGAGGAGAGAAGATAGATGCGGTCTTACTCTTACAGCTATGGGGATTCGGTGGAGCGTTGCGGAGAGAGAGCGAGTGACGTGTGTCGAGGAAAAGTAGAGTGGTTTCACGCTCGAGGAAAGAAGTCCACATAACCCCCTGAGGTTTCATGAAACGGACAATTTACCCCCCGAAGTCTAAAACCGGGTAAATAACCCCCTGATCTTTTCCAAACCAGGTGAATCACCCCCTCACACCTACTAGACTGGTTTTTCAAGCGGTTTTGGTGACTGGGCAGATTGCAGGTGCCAGGTCGGCACGGTTCCTATCCTCCTCCGATCCTTCTGCCATCGCGCGTCGCGCCCAAACCACTTGTCGACCTCGTGGTAGCACCAATGAGCAGCCGGCCACGAGGGAGCTAAGCCCAGCATGGTACATGAAGTACCTTGTGTCGCATGATGTACTACTGTTGCGCTCACTCTGCGTGATCCCTCGCCTTCGTACTCTCCTTGAACCCCGGTGGGATGGCTTCTGGAGCTCCGTCCTCTGTACAAAAATTGGTGCATCAACCAGATGGCAAATTGGCAAGGCTTCCGGCTCCTAGCGGCGCACCAGCTCCTAAAGCAAGCACACGCGACTGCACCGTCGTTGCCTTAGTCGCCTCGGCAGCCCTCGCCGGCCGCGTTCGCTTCGTCCTCAAGTCGACAATAGCTCGCACCTGCACCACATATCGAGCTCGCGCCCATGCCACCTGCGGCTGGGGCTGCCACCGGCAGCTGACGATGTCCATCATTAGAGCTAATCACGATTAGAATAGTCATATCCAACTTGTACATGGTGGCACGAGCTTCTTGTGTGTACGTGTGTGCTCCAGGAGAGAATCAATTCAACAGCAGTATATATGTACGTGTGTATTTTCTCCGGCGGAGCTCGAGTTCACGTGCCATCGGGACCTTGTGCCTACCTCCTCAAGTGCACGCGGCTCGCCAGCTCCTCGTCGCTTCCAGTGCTCATGTCCTGCTCGTCACCATCGTAGACGACCTCCACTGTCCACTTCGGAGAGTATGAGTACGACTGTACCAGCCACTGGTCACGCGGGACGCGGCAGGAGCGCTATGGCGCAGACGGCCATAAGGATCCGTCAAACCTTCGGCGCATGCACTAGGCTGGAGAGCAGGTTCGACAACGCTGGCCTGCCTAGTCGAGGGGATGCCTTTCGATGCAAGACGCTGCTGGCTTCGTGCGGGCTGCACGATCTGGAGCTGGGAAGGCTCACCGCCAAGAAGATCACAAAGTTAGAAGTGTGGGACTCGGCGAGCTACATGTTGATGTCCTGTGCCGTGACTGGTACGAGACTGGTTTGTGCTCGGAGTAGTATGGTCGAAGTCAGGTGCATGTCGGGAACGAGGAGCGCCTCACCACGTCATCAAAACCACCTACAAAACCACTCTAACCAGGGTTGGGGGTGATTAACATGGTTTGGAAAAGATCGGGGGTTATTTACCCGGTTTTAGACTTCGGGGGGTAAATTGGCCGGTTCGTGAAACCCCGGGGGGTTATGTGGACTTCTTTCCACGCTCGAGTAACAGCAAAGATGGGAGAGCCCCGGCCTCCTCACAGCTCAAGGCTATTTTGACCATTAGATGCGTTTGCTTGATGCGTTTCCAGCCATCGGATCGAGGCCTCGCTTAAGCCGTAGTACCGCTCTTTCAGTGGCGGATCCAGGAATTCAACTTTGGGTGTTTAATTTTTTTTCACCCTAACTGTTAGAATAAATCCGAAGGACTCCGTCAATCATCCAAGGACCAAGCAATCACACGAGCACGACACCGAGATTTGTTAACGAGGTTCACCCACATGGCTACATCTCGGGGCATACTTGTCTTTTACCATCAATTCTTTCTCTTTTTTTATGTTTTTTAAGGGTACGCCAAAGGCGTACCTTAGCTTTATAGAAGGGGGGAAAATATGTACAAGAGATTACACATATGCTAGCTAGGTGTCACATGTCGACCCTAACCAACCCTCCACACCACTCCCTAGGTCTACTCGACTACTCTACAACTGGTTGTCCTCCAAACGCTCCTGCCAGGGCCCAGGTCCTAAGATCATCAAAGATCATGTCCACCGTATCCCACTCGTTCTTGATCATCCCAGTGCCGAAAACCCTCACGTTCCTTTGCTTCCATAACGTCCAACAGATTAGCATCACGAAAGTGTCAAAACCTTTCCTGGAGTGCTTATCTATCCGTTTTCTACCATCCGTCCACCATTGCACCAAACTAGAGTCGTAAGATGGGCAGAGATCCGCCATCAAACCCATCCTGTCGATGCAACGGAACCAAACTTGTCGCGAGAAAACACACTGCAGCAATATATGATTGACCGTGTCCTCCACTTGGTCGCACAAGTAGCAGTTAGATGTTTGGTCTTGCAAACCGTACTTGGTTCTCCTGTCAGATGTCCACAGTCTGTATTGCACGAGAGCCACATGAAAATCTTGCACGCAAGAGGTGCCCAACACTTCCATATGGCCCCGAAGGAGTGGAATTTAGTTCCTCCCTCACACAACATCTTATATGTCGGAGACGCCGTATATACGCCCGTTGCATTCCAAGCCCAGATGGGACAGTCCTCCACCTGATCATCCAGCTGGACCTCCATGAGAATCTCCCAAAGTCCGATGAACTGGGTAAGACCCTCCGTACATAGGCTTCCTACTAAATCGTCCATCCATGTATGCATGTACATCGCATCCCGCACAAGCCTCCGGTTAGCTACTTGTGTCCGCACCTTTGCTACCACCAATGGAGCAATCTCTTTGATTGTTGCACCATGTATCCACCGGTCTTTCCAGAACAAGGTTTTGCCTCCCGATCCAACCTTCCATTTGACTAGGCTCCCAAATGCTTGGTCAACTTTTTTGTCCGCGGTCAAGTTGAGGCCTTGCCAAGGCCTAGACTCGTCTGTGCGTAGGAGCCATTCCCATCTCAATCTCAATGCGATGCCGTGTTTAGACAGGTCAATGACTCCAATCCCTCCCATGTGTTTCGGCCTGCATACCCTAGTCCATGAGACAACACATTTGCCCCCATTCACCGCCTCCGTCCTAGCCCAAAAGAAGGCCCTACACCCTTTGTCCACTCTTTCCAGGGCCCATTTCGGAGCCTCTGCGATCATGAGGTGATGTGTAGCTCGCGCCCTCATAACTTGGTTGACAAGTATGAGCCTCCCAGGCCTCGTCACCATGCCCCTTTGCCATCCTGGCAAAATGTGTAGGGCTGTATCAACAATGGGCTGCCACTCGGATCTTTTTAACTGTTTTATGCTGAGTTGGAGTCCTAGATATTTGCACGGAAATGTGCCAATTGATACGTCTCCAACGTATCTACTTTTCCAAACACGTTTGCCCTTGTTTTGGACTCTAACTTGCATGATTTGAATGAAACTAACCCGGACTGACACTGTTTTCAGTAGAACTGCCATGATGTTGTTTTATGTGTAGAAAAGAAAAGTTCTCGGAATATCCTGAAAATCTGCGGAGGCACTTTTTGGAATTAATAAGAATTATTGGGCGAAAGAAATACACCAGGGGGCCCACACCCTGTCCACGAGACAGGGGGCGCGTCCCCTCCCCCTGGGCACACCCCCCTATCTCGTGGCCCCCCTGGACCTCCACCGACCTCAACTCCAACTCCATATATTCACATTTGTGGAGAAAAAAAATCAGAGAGAAAGTTTCATCGCGTTTTACGACACGGAGCCGCCGC